CTCCTCCATTTCTCCCTCCTTTTTGGATTTTGGGCCCACATATGCATGTACCCAGAGTGTTTTTCCATCCTATAGATCTGGGACTCAAACCATGCACTTGTCCATATGGGATCCAGCTTCCTAACCACCAGGCCACACGCTGCCCTGAGAGATATGATATTTAAGTTCTACACCCAAAACAAAGCAGAAATTTGTTACATTTGTCATTTCCCTATCATTATCCTGAACAGTTATCCTGATCTGTTTCATACGCAGCCATGCCTCTATTTGCACTATAGCTATAGTGATGTCTGCCTTTTCATCCACATACCCAGCCTCCCCAAACCCAAGACTTTTGTATCCTTATCAGACTCAAGTATACTTGCCTGTTTGCTTGTCTTTGGGAAGGTACTTTATCTTCGTGTCTCAAGAGTTTAGCACAGTACCTGGATCCACCCATATCTCTATTCAGTGACTATGTGTATAAACCAAAAGACAGACAGCCTTTGTTTGATTGTTTTTTACCATGTTCATGAAAATAAAGGTTTATCCTCTTTATGAGATACCAGTGGTGCTGGGCCCAGCAGGTGGCGTGGTGGTTAAGGCGCTGGACACTCCCACATGGCCAACCATGGTTCAAATCCTGGACCTGGTGGCTTGCTTTCTCTCTCTCTCTCTCTCTCTCTGTGTGTGTCTCTCTGTCTCTCTCTGGTCAAATTAAAAGAAATGAATTAATTAATAAAATTAAATAATAATTAAAAATAAATAAATATTTTTAAAAAGAGATACTAGTGGTGCAGGTGGTGTAATAATTAAGGTACTGGAATCCCATGTAGTCAACCATGGTTCAAGACCTAGACCTGGCAGTTTGGAACTTACCCCAGATGCTATGTATGCTTGTGTTCCCAAAATTCTGAGAGGAAAATGGAGGAGAAAGGATCATGGTATGGCCATGCCCCCTTGGGGGTGGTTTCTTACTTTCTGTCTCTCTGTCTCTCCATCTCTCTGGTAAGCACAAGCACCCTATAGCAAAAAAATCTTAAAAAAAGAGAAACCAATAATGAATTATTCTAATTGTCATTCATTAGAAAGAGACCATAAGTGAATTAGTTTCTCTTTCTCTAGGACTGACTATAGTTATCTCACATGGAGCTTTTCTATGTAAACACTTGAGCAGAGACCTAAAGAGGAAGATGAAGAGGCTTAGAACTTGTCAATAAGAAAAATATTCTTCTTTTTATTTTTTTAAAGAGAGATTTTTTTTGTTATAGGGTAGGTACATATGCTCACCAGAGAGACAAGACAGACAGAAAGCAAGAAATCACACCCCCCATCCAGGGAGGGATGGCCATGCTGCAGTCCCTTCTCCTTCATTCTCCTCTCAAGATCTTGGGCACACATGCACACACTTCCAGTGTGAGGGTTTTTAAAAATTATTTTATTATCTTTATGTATTTTAATTTGACCAGAGAGGGACAGAGTGGGGTGAAGAGAGAAAGTGAGAAAGCAAGTCACTGGGTCCAGGACTCACACCATAGTTGGCCATGTGGGAGACCAGCACCTTTAATCTCAACGCCACCTGCTGGCCCCTGCAGTGTGAGTTTTAAGCTGCTGGGTCCAGGACTTGAACCATGATCAACTAAGTGGGAGTCCAGGGACGTAACCATTATGCCATCTGGTGCTCCCAAGTATTATAAACAAAGAGACTTCAAACAGTTCAGGAAAAGTGGAATTAAAGTATGAGTTTATTTTTATGGAAAAAAAACTAAAATTCATGCATAGTTTTTTCATAATTTTCATTTTACATGAACTTTTTGAAGATCCTTTCATATGTGCAAGTTAGTGTTACTGGAATTAGCAATGACAGAATACTAAAGGAATAAAATTAATTTTTTTCCAGACACAGTGTATTTATAATTCTAAGTAATTGAATAGGAGCTGACAAATATTTGCTAACTTGAATAGCTGAAGTCAGAGGATTTAAACAGTTCACAGTTTTCAAAAGAAATGAGCAAATATTTCAAGAATCAAAATGACAACAGCAAGGTGTACTTATTTAACTTGAGGAGATTTCTATTTAACTAATTTAGGTATTTCATGACTTATAAGTAGAAAAATAGAAGTGGCTGATTTGTATAGGAACTTAATTACATTTTAAGTTAATAAATAGAACTCTACTTGATTCAGCCATTCAGACATGATGTTCGTCTAACAAAGGTGTGAAATACCATAATCAGCCAAATTCAGATTTTCAAGGAAGTGCCATTTGAAGTAGATGTTTACGTAATGGTTACCTAGGACATTGAGTAAGGCTAAGAGCTTTTTTATTCCTTAAGTTTTTGCCATAGGGTGCATCAGCTTTCAGGAGAGAGACAGGGAAGCAGAAAGAAAGAGAAAAATAACACCTTGCTGGAGAGGGGCGGGTGGGTTTCTCTTCCATTTTCCTCTCAGGATTTGGGCATGCACACACTCAGGTCTGGTGTGATTTTAAAGCTGCCAGGTCCAGTACTCAAACCATGGTCAGCTAGAATACAGAGCCTTAATCACCATACCACCTGCTGGTCCAGAACAACAGCTTTTTCTGTCTGCTAGAAAAATATTTAGAATATCCTAGAATATTGAATATGTCCCTCATTCAGCTTATTGATAGCACACTTCAAGGCTTGTTCCTCTGACTTTATTCACTGTTCAGGTAAAAAATACCTCTGAGAGGATTAATATTTAGTTTTTTGTTTTGTTTTGTTTTTTGAAGAAATTTTTGCTATAAGGGCACTCGCTGAAGAGACAGAGACAGAAAGGGAGAAATCCCCTGCTCCCAGGGAGGATAGCCACATTGCAATCCCTTTTCTATGTTCCTCTTAGGATTCTGGGAATGCACACATGTGCCTGGCATGAGTTTCAAGGCTCTGGGTCTGGGACTCGATTCAGTCAGCTGTGTGGCAGTCCAGTGATGTAACCATCACACCATCTGCAGGTCCCAATATGTTAGATTTTATTAGTCATTTAATTCTTAATGGTAAAAGCTCATAAGAACCTTTCCTGATTAGGCCAAGAGATGGCATGGTGGTTGAGGTGTTAGACTCACACATGGCTAACCATGGTTAGATACTAGACCTAGTGGCTTGAAAAACATACCAAGTGCATGCTCAAAATCCCAAGAGGAGGATGGAGGAGAAAGGATTGGGATTACAGTGTGGCTGTCCTCTTGAGGGAGTGTGGGGAATGGGGTGATCCTTCACTTTTTCTCTTTCTGTCTCTCTTTGGCAAATTTACATGCACTGTGGCAAACACCCGAAAAAAAGGTCCTTCTTTCCTAAAAACTATCTTTCATAGAAAGAAAAACAGCTTTATCAAGAAGACTGTAGGAGCAGGACCAGTAGTTGGCATAATGGCAATGTTGCTGGACTCACGTGTAGTTGATCATGGTTTGAGTCCCAGACCCGGTGGCTTAAACCCATGCTGGGTACATGTGTGCATGGCCAGGATCCCGAGAGGAGAATGGAGGAGAAGGTATTGCTGTGTTGCCATCCCTCATGGTGGGTGATTTCTCCCTTTCTGTCTGGCTGTCTCTCTCTGTCTTTCTGGTGAGTGCACGTGCCCTATACCAAAAACCTCTCCCCCCCAAAAAAAAAGAAGACTGTAGAAGAACAGTACCACACTATCTATCAAAATTTAAAATATGTTGCTCTCTGTGTATATATAAGTGGTCTTCAGAAATTTTGTGGAAAATGCATACTGTAGAAAAGCTATGATTGGATTTCAGGGGTTATTTTACACCAACATAAATTCACATTTTTATTTTATTTTTCCATGAACTTTTTAAAAAACATTTATTTATTTATCTATTTATTTGTTGTGATTTTCAAGCCTGGGTCCAGGACTTGAACCATAGTCAACCATGTGGAAATTCAGTGCTCCAACCACTACATCACTTATTGGCCCTCCATGATATTTTCAAGTCCCCTTGTAAATGGTTGCTCATTACAACTATTGGTGATTTTTTTTAAAGGAGTTATTTTAACTTTATTTATTTATTTAGTTAGTTAGTTATTTTTAATATGACCAGAGAAGAACAGATGGGGGGTGGGAGAATGTTGAGAAAGCAAGTCTCCAGGTCCAGGACTTGAACCACAGTCAACCATGTGAGAATCCAGTGCCCTCAACCACCATGCTGCCTGCTAGTCCCAGCAGCTATTAGTGATTTTAAAAAAATAAAAATTAGGACCATTGCAAGTATGCACAAATAGGAAACTGGTTAAGTGAGATAAACTAGTATATGTACATGATAGAATACTATGTACCTGGGTTTTTTGAGAGAGAGAGAGAGAGATTTTTGCTATAGGGTAAATATACTCGTGGAGAGACAGAAAGCAAGAAATCACGCCCCAGGGAGGATGGCCTCCCTGCAGTGCCTTCACTTCCAGTCTCTTCTCTGCATTGTGGGCATGCTTGCACATGCTCCAGCATTACTTTTTTTTTTTTTTTTAAGATTTTTGCTATAGGACACGTACGTTGACCTCAGAGACATAGCAATGTATGTAGATGTTATCTTTTATGTAGTAAAGGAGCAAAATAAAATAAGAAAAGTAATGATCTTATATATCTAAAGAAACATTGTCAGGATAGAGCAGAAATTATTAGCAGTTGTTATAAGGCTGTAAAAGAAATGAGGGGAAGGTACCGAGGGTTAGTATATGTGAGAACAGAAAAGAGTAAGACTTACATTTGCATCCTGTTACATTGTTTTGATTTTTTAATTCCATGACTATATTACCTGTTTTTTAAAGACACCCTAATAGATGAATGGCAGCATGATTAAAATTAACTAAAGAGGATGATTTATCTCAAGTGAGGAGGCTAGAAACTTTATCCAGGTCACTTCCTCCTGTCACTTTGAAGAAGGCTAGTTCTGAAGAACTCCATTCATTGCAGGCCTCAACCATTTATGCATGAAGGAACTTTTCTGATATTCTGACCAAATGCTGCACAATCATGATTTGTATGTATTTGTTTTTCTATAGATGCCAGAGGAACAAGCATTCTGTGTTTTAGTGAAAATCATGTACGACTATCATTTGCGAGACCTCTACAAAAACAACTTTGAAGATCTTCATTGCAAATTCTATCAGTTGGAGAGACTAATGCAGGTAAATTAAAAATTAGGAACTTGTCTCACTAAAGGATTTGAGTTACAGAAAAGTCTAATACAGGTGATAAGCAATAAGTTGTGAAAGTTTAATGGATTACTACTGAAAATGCAAATGGATTTGGTTTCTGACCAACATCTACATTGGTCTTAATATCGTAGTATGTTTTACTTAGCCATTGACTATTTAAAAAATTGTCTCACATTTTTAAATATTCAACTACAATTCACTTTGAAGTATGGGTGTAGTGAGTTATGTCAGCAAAGAGATTGCTGAGTGTTTGTAAAGGAATGAGGATATTTACAGAATAAAAAAATAAAAATACAAGAGTTTTCTCCAAAGCATACTACTATATTTAGGTCTGCATAGAACACTTGGAAAAAAGTATATTGAAGTATATTGATAAAGTATATTGATAAAGTATATTGATAGAGAAGTATATTGATAAAGAAATGAAAAAAAACCTAAGATACTGTAATGTAGGGGCGTATTTTAAATTTTTTGCAATTAATTTCCCTAACATTGTTCCTCATAATTAAGAAATGTAAATTTGGGGGAACCAGCAGTTAGCGTAATGGCTATGTCGCTGGACTCCCACATAGTCGACCACGGTTCGCGTCCTGGACCCGGTGGCTTAAAACTCACGCCAGGCGCGTGTGCGTGCATGCCCAAGATCCCAAGAGGAGAATGGAGGAGAAGGGATTGCAGCGTGACCATCCCCCCTGGGGGGTGATTTCTCGCTTTCTGTCTCTATGTCTCTCTCTGTCTGTCTGGCGAGTGCACGCGCCCTATAACAAAAATCTCTCAAAAAAAATGTAAATTTTTATACATACACTGAGTAATTAAAAAGATAATGAGAAAGGGCTAAATTATTGACTAGAGGTAACAAAAGGAATTATTGAGTAGCTTTGAGCTTATACCCTAGGTTGGGAGTTTTGAATTTGTAATGAGTCTACTCAGCATATTTAAATGACTTTTTCTAAATGTTACATTGAGAACCCATGAAAAATGAGAAGGAAAGGTATGAATGGATCGATTCCATATTAGGAAAGAAGGCTAGTGGAATATGAGAGTAGAAGTGCTATAGAAACTCATTGACATGACCTGTCAGGAGACTCATACGTGCCTAAAGAGGGAAATAAACTCAATAGGAAACTGAAAGACTAGAACAGGGGAGTAGAAGACTGAGTTTGCAGTGAGGTTAAGGACCAGTTTTATTGAGAGAAGGGTTTTGTTTTGTTGGTCCGTGAAAACACAACATGAGCTTTTACTTATCTTTGCCTTTGTCCTTCAGTTATAGGAATAGCTATGTTAATACTTTACACTTCACCTTTCATACTCTTGAAAAGCCTTTGCTTGTTTAACTTGGGAAGAAATATAAAGCTAGCATATCGATATTTTTAGGAGATAATCTAATTTCATGCCCTTACACACTTACTTTACTTTGCCATTTTTAATGTCGAAGATAGGTTTTTAAATATTTGTCTATGCCTTGGGGTTTTCCAGGTGTTCAAAAAATATACTGAAATGACATCAAAGACTCCAGATGGTGTTGACACTGGGTGGTCTCCAAAGAGAAGAAACATTTCTTTTCTAGCTAGTTAAGAGTTGAACCCTGTATGGGGATGCTGTGACTTGACCTAGAGTCAAGACAGTCATTAACTGCAGGTGTTTTGTCAGAGCAAGCATTTCCCAAGAGACAGAAATAGTCAAGTGAGCAAGAGCTGACCTTTGTTTATAACAAGTCCGCCTTTGTTTTCCTCAGTTACCTGTCATATGCCTAATCCTCATCTCCTCTCATCACTTCTGTGTAGTTACAGAAAAGGCAACCAATGCTAGAATACAGTTAAGTGAGCATTAAAGCTTGTTATGAGTTGCAATTATGGTAGGAAATAAAGCTTCTTCAATGTTCCTCTGTCTAAAATTTCCACTTTTGACTGTTAGGAGCAGCTACCGGACCTGCACAGCCATTTTTGTGATCTGAACCTGGAAGCACATATGTATGCATCCCAGTGGTTTCTCACTCTGTTTACTGCCAAGTTCCCACTCTGCATGGTGTTCCACATCATTGACTTACTGCTTTGTGAGGTAGAGTGACTCCCATCTTTCCTACCTAAGCCAAAGAGAAAATAGTTTCTACTTGAAATGGTTATATTGTGCTTCATTTTCTTTTTTCCTGTGACGTTAAACCATATATAATGACCAAAAATTTCTGTTTGAATTTTTAGTAAGGACTTCTTTAGTTATAACTTTATGACTTGTGAGGAATGTAAAATTAAGGCATATATAATTCCTACAAAGTAAAAGTAGACAGTTAAATTCATATGATTAAATTCAAAATAAGTCTGTATTTGTGTAATAATATATTACTAATAGGAAGCACCTTTAAAGTCAAATAAATAAATTTAGAATCAGATGCTTTAACATTAATGCAGTTGTATAACAAGAGTGAATATAAATGCGATTTTCATAGTCACTAATTCTTTAGTTCACAAGATATCTCTCTGTAATTATCTTTGAAGCTCCTGAGAGATGAAAAGTAATAAACTAAAACTTTTAGGTCATAAAATTATATTTTTAGACAGAATATTTGAGAAGGTAGTTTGTAGAATATCTTAGATATTTATTTATTTACTTTATTGGTATTTATTTACTTTATTGGTTTTAGTTTCTTAAATGGGTTGATTTGTTTATCTTATTCTTTTAAATAAATAAAGATATTTATGTTATTGAATATATTGCCCATCAAAATATTTAACAATTTTAGCAGTGATAGGAAAGTTGATGAATGAGAAGTTTGTTTTTTTTTTTATGGGAATAGAAGTGTATATAAAAATGTAACTGTCCTAAAAAGCTAGAGTAATAGGGCCTACAGGTGGCATGGTGGTTAAGGACATTGGACTCCCACATGGCTGACTGTGGTTCGAGTCCCAGACCTGGTGACTTGCTTTCTCACTTTCTCTCTTCCTCCCTTTCTCTCTCCCCCAAACCTCCCCCCCCCTCCCACCATGTCCCTCTCTGGTCAAATTAAAGTAAGTAAATAAGCAAATAAAGTTAAATAAAATAATTCTTTAAGAAAAAAAGCTAGGAACCAGCACTTAGCGTAATAGCTATGTCGCTGAACTCCCATGTAGTCGACTGCGGTTCGAGTCTTGGACCTGGTGGCTTCAATTCACACCTGGCATGTGTGTGTGCGTGCATGCCCAAGATCCCAAGAGAATATTGGAGGAGAAGGGATTGCGGCATGGCCATATCCACTGGGGGATGATTTCTCACTTACTGTCTCTCTGTCTCTCTCTTTCTTTCTGGTGAGCACACATGCCCAATAGCAAAAAAAAAAATGCCCCAAGAAAAAAAAAAAAAAAAAAAAAAAACCCCTCTCTCCAACCACAACAAAAAAAAGCTAGAGTAATCGAAAGTATCAGGTTGTTAGAAAAGTCATGACATATTTTTCTGTTTTTCTATGCAAAAATGAATCATGACTTTTCCAACAACTCAACATAAGCTTATGTACACAATTGTAAGTGTAATATATCTAAATCAACTTTTATTACTATGGTTTTTTTTTTAGGTAAAACTTATTTTTTCTTAAAAGAAAAAGTCTAGCCATTGTCATCACCCTAGGAGCTAGAAGTTTAGGTGTAAAAATAAGATTAAAGAATATTAAAGCTATAAGGGAATGTCAAAAGTTCATAGAAAATTAGAATTAAAATACAAGTTGATTTTGTTGCAAAAAACCCTAAAATTCATACGTAGTTTCTTCATGATACACATTTTCCTTGAACTTTTCTGAAGAACCCTCATATATAAAGCATAGCAGTGTTATTTCTCAGCCTAGTACAGTAGCTGTCTGTGTCAACGTAGCTGGCTGGGCTTTTGCTTTTCAAAGGTTCTAGATAACAGTTGCATAAAATTGGAAGGCTACAGATCATTTTGTAAGCTTGTAAGAATGTTAATCTTTTGTAATGTGCAGTGATAAGGGTTGGGTGACTTGCTGGGTTCATAGAACAGGTTTCTGAATCCTGAATATAGCACGATAATAGTTAGAGAACTTGATTAATAGCACATTAATTCTCCCTATTCATTTGGTTTACAAATTAGTTTGTAAAATGCCTTTAATCTATAGGAAGAATGCAGTATTAAGAGCTGAAACTTTATTCAAAGTCAATGTAGTGTGATCACAATATACACAACGCAAATTTAGACATTTGTTCTAAAATCTCTTTGTCTGCTTTTCCAATTCAGTGTTGTGAATTAATTCCAACTTCCCTATTTTTTTAGTGCAATGTGTTGTAATACTAAAAACCAACGAAAGTTCTATCATCTTAAGACAAAATGTTGACTAGAAGGTAGTTTTGATTAGAAAAAAATGTCCATTGGCTTTATTTATTGCATGCTGAGCTGACTTTCTTTAGTATTTTATGTTATTCTATAAAGTGGGGATTTGTCATTTTAATGACTTGTGCATTATATGTAGTATGAGCTTGCAAATATTTCTTATCCTTCACATTTATTGCTGAAAGAGATTTATTTCATACTAGATTGGTTCTATAGTATTCATTATAGAAAAGGGAATGAAATTAATGTGTGTAATCGCACTAGCTAAATGGGATCTCTCGTTCCCTTTTGGTAGAGTACTAACTCTGTCCTTTAGTTGCATGGAATGATGACTTTCTACAGTTGTCTCTGCCTAAATACTGGCACAGCTGGTATTGGAGCACCATGCATGAGTGTTCTGGGACCTAAATTTACAATTTCTCAGGAAATGTCAACTTGAAGATACTTAGATTTCTAATGTCAGTTGCTAAGAAAATTAGCAGCATTTATGGTACAGAAAAGGAAAGTAAATTTATAAGCCTTCTCATCACTTGTCAACTGTGATTCACAATCACAGTTTTTGAAAGATCATAATATTCATTAAAATTAATAAGAGCATCATAGATGTTATTTTTTTCTTCCTATAAATCTGTGCTCTGTAGCTGTTTGAGAAAGTTGTATTGCTCTCCAAACCATGGGATAGGCTGTAATCACAGCATCATGATATCCAGGAAAATAAGTGACAACATTGCTTAACAGAGTAAAGGAGCTTTCAAAACAAACTTCATTGGGAACAGTGTTGTAGTGTGCTTCAGGATATTCATTCTTTCCACTAACTCATCTTTGTCAAGGATTATTTTACAAAGGAGATTTCTGAGTAAACTTTTACTTCCTGAGTCTCTGTGTTTTCTCTTTGCCCCTTTTTGTAGTTAATAAAATATTTATATCAAAAGTTATCCTTTCTTCTGATAAAATATTCCAAGAAAAGGTAACTTGGTCTTAAATAAATCATAAATCATCTTTAAGTGTTTGCTTTTGTCATTTTCTCTCTTTTTAAGAAAACAATTCAAATCTTGATGTATATGAAGTAATATTTAGTTATAAATAAAAAGTTGAGAAATTCTCAGAACAGTGTTGATTTTTCAAAGTTGATCATTCTGACAAAAAAAATTGGTCTGCACAGTGTTTTATTCAAAGATCTCAATGCAGAGTTAAAAGGAAGATAGTGAGTAAAGACTTTACTCTTGGAAGGGATATTGTCTTGGGACACTTTTATTAAATTTATGCATTTAAGAATTTCTTCATTCATCCTAATGTTAAGAATTTGGAGTTAATTTAGCAGAAAAGAGAAAAATTTGATAGATTTTGATGATGTAGCCTGAGTAGAAATCAGCTAGTTTTATTAATAGTTTTATTTAAAATGTTTATTAAACTGGAGTGCTAGGTTAATTCCTTTGTTTAGTTGAAAATGGATTGCAACAGGATTCGAAACTAGAATGTAAAATACATTTTTTATTAAGATGAATGGAACTCTGTAGATTGACTTTTAGCCAATAATTTAAATCAGTATAAAACAAACCTGTTTTATTATTACTTTTATTTGGAGAAATAGAAAGGCCAAACATATTAGCATTTATAATATAAATCTTTTGCTATTAACCCACCAAGAATAAAACATTACACTCTTTATTTATTTATTTATTTATTTATTTTCCTATAGAGTGCGGGCGCTCACGGGAGACAGGAGAGAGAGAGAGAGAACGTGAGAAACTACCCCTTGGTGGGATGGCCACACCACAACCCCTTCTCCTCTATTCTGCTCTTGGGATGTGAGGCACTTATGCATTTCAGGCTGCTGGAGAGAGAGATAGCGAGGGGGGGGAAGTGAGAAAGCAAACCACCAGGTACCAACAGAACCACTGTTCAACCATGTGGCAGTCCAGCATCTTGACTATCATGCCACCTGCTGGCCCAACATTGTACTCTTTGAAAAGCACTTTATATTGGCTTCCTTTTTTATGCTCTGGCAATCTGGGTGACTGTCCTTGGACAGAGGCCATCCCATACCTAAGGCAGGAAAATAGTGGCCACAAAGAAGAAAAAGAAGTCTCTGGAGTCGATCAGCTCTAAGCTCCAACTTGTTATGAAAAGTGGGAAGTACATGCTGGGGTACAAGCAGATCTGAAGATGGTCAGACAAGGCAAAGTGAAGTTGGTCATCCTTTCCAGCGACTGCCCAGCCTTGAGGAAATCTGAAATAGCATACTATGCCATGTTGAACAAAACTGGTGTTCATCACTACAGTAGAATTAATATTGAGTTTGGCATAGCACGTGAGTACGCACACTGGCTATCATTGATCCAGGTCATTCCAATATCATTAGAAACATACTGGATGGAACAGAATGATGAAAAGTAAATCAGGCGACTTTTTTCTTTATTATAACTTGCCAGAGCTTGTTTTAAAACCCAAACCAAAACAAACAACAGAAAAAATTTTTTATCAAAGTGTAGCACAGAAAACAGGTGAAAATTAATGTAAAACTTGGTGAAATTTCACTAAAGAAACACAATAAGGTAACTAGCATCTAGATTAAAAACAAAACAAAACAGAAATATTATCTGAAGTTTAGAAATGCCCCCTTTTGGGACCAGCAGATGGTGTCATGGTTACATTGCTGGACTCCCACATGGCCAACTCCTGTTTAAATCTTGGACTTAGCAGCCTGAAACTTACATAGGGCACAATTGCATGCGTGCTCAGGATCCTGA